GAAGGCTAAAATTTCCCAGGTATTAGATGCTAAATTTGAAAAGGAGACTAGGCAAAGATAGAATAAATTTCTCAATTTATTGATGCCAATTTTCTTACAAGAACTTTAGCACAGTCATTGTATATGGCATAAATAAGAGTAGGTCTTACTGGTTTACATAAAAAAAATCAAAATCAAAACTGTGAGTGTGTGTGTGAATTATTTCAAATGATGGCTAAAGTTTGTCAGGATTTAAAATTTTTGATCAAACAAAAAATTATTTTCCTACTTGTATTTTAAATGTAAACTTAGTTTTCTTCATAAAGCAAGCCAGAAACATTTTGCTAGAAAATAATTAGCTTTAATGGGCTCAAAGGTATTCTAATACTCTCCAGATATCTTAAAAGAATATATGAGAATAAAATGCACTATACTTATGTTTAAAGACTTTTTTTTTAAACTTCTTTGGCAACAAAATAAATTAGGTAATAGAAGGTGAGTTTTGCTCTTCTTAATAATTTTTATACGTTAAATGTCTTCATATTTCTTTCCTTGCTTCTGTGCTTCTCAAATAAAGTTCAAAAGAATCATTCATAGCTCTCCTTAATAATCAATACATCAACAAGTGGATTAAATTAAAATAATAAAAACAAAATAGAATCAGATAATATTCATAACAATTTTAAGTAGAAAGAACTCATATCATTGACAATTCTGTCACATTAACATCCAGTTTACTTCCATCTAATGCCTGTTTTAAGAAAAATATTTTGTTTACTTTGTTATGCCTGTTTTATGAGGTCAAATATATTCATATTTGTAGGCTAGAGACTTATATAATGCAATTCATTTATGTTTTTATCCAAGTCTTAAAACCAAATTTTGAGGATATTGTCTTGATTCCTAAAATACTCCAACATTTCTTCACGTTAAAAACAAAACACTTCACTTTACAAATTTTCTCATTTGCCAGATCAGTTACGCGGAAGGCAGGGGAAGGAAGAGGAAATGTCTGAGGATATCATTTTTGTCTCTGCCACACTTAGTGTATATGAAATTCACATTGGTGATGTACTCAAAGAGACAGGTGTTGAAATGAATTGAGAGATTGGTATTGACATATGTACATCACCATGTGTAAAACAGATAGCCAGTGGGAACCTGTTCGATAGCATGGGGAGCTCAGCCTGGTCTCTGTGATAACCTAGATGGGTAGGATCGGGAGAGGGGGTGCTCAAAGAGGGAGGGGATATATGTATAATTATAACTGATATGATATAAAATAGTCACATCTAAAACTTTTAGTGATTTTTCTCTGAATTACAAATAATACATTGACTTTGTATTTTATTTGTAAAGTTACAGAAAAGCATCAAGATTCTCTTGACTACTTTGGTGTCTCCATTTTTAGTCTTAAATGTATAGATACATGGCAACATTAGAGAAATAGGGACAGAAAGGAAGAAAAAACACACATGAGAAATTTAAAAATCCATCTAGCAAAGCTTAGATGAGTTTCTATCACTACTGAACCGTTAGTTTAGTAACTAATGACTAAATAATGTTGTTCATGTAAGAAGCAAATAGACTTTTTAAAAAAGGCTATAATTAAAAGCAATGGTTATATACTTTGAAATATAGTGATCACATTATTAACTTATTTGGTTATTTTAATGTCATCTTAAAATTTATAACCTGCCTCATGAGGTCAGCAGTCACAAAAGAATATCATGCTTTGGGTTGTTACTTCATTAAACATATCTTCTGTCTCTCTGAATCTATCACTGATGTAAATTTCAAATAGTCTATGTGTCACAGAGATAATACTGTGTATTCGCCATGTTTTCCTCTTCTTGGGCATAGAGCAAAGTGACATTTTCTAGCATTCCATGTGACTAATCTAGCAAATGGAATAAAATCACACTTAACAGGTATATTTCCTACAGATCTCTCATCTCTGCATCAATGACCACAGACCATATTTTAAATTGTCAGAGGATTTATGCAGCACCCTGAATCTCTGAGAGAATCACATGAAGTTGAATGCCACCTCCTGCATCCACCCATCCAGCAGAATGGAATATATGGAATGAGTAATAAATACATTTTTCCTGTCTTGGGTCAATAAGCTTTAAGATTTAATTGGTCATCAGAGCACAAACTAGGCTACCTAATTATACAGCATGTAGCCCCAAACATAGTCCTCAAATTAAGTAAAAAATCTAACTAATAGTATTTCTGTTATACTGTAAAAAAGAAAAAAAAATCACCAAATCTGAGTGTGTTAATGTCAGCTCCTCAATTGCAACAAATACGTCACTCTGGTGGGAGATGTTGATAATGGAAAAGGTAATTCAATATTGGAGACATGAGTAAATGGGAAATCTCTGTGTCTTCCATTCAATTCTTCTCTGAACCTACAGCTGATCTAAAAAATAAAGCAGTAGAAAAGATTATTTTAATAATCTTTAAATAAAAATTTTAAATTTATTCAAATAATCTTTGAATAAAACATTTTAATAATCTTTAAAAATAAAGCTTATAGAAAAGATTTATTAAGGTTCATAAATTTTAAATTTAGGGAATATCATTTATAATATTTTTAATTATTAATGACAATTACTGTTTTCTTCCTAATATTACAAGCTATACATGTTTATTGCTGGCAACTAGAAATACATAAAAGCATAAAGTAAAAAATAAAAGTTACCCATAGTCCCCAATTCCCAGAAAAGAATCACTATTGGCATTTTGATTTCAACTGATTTTTATACTTACTAAGTAATTTTAAAATTTCTATGTTATTAAATATTCTAATAAAATACAAAATTTACCCTTATATAGTTTTAAAAATTGTATTGATGTGTTAAAATTTCCTGGTGGATATTCAACTTTATTAAAATTTCTTGCTGTTTTACAAAATGCCAAAATGAAGTAGTGTATACCCTCTGTGAATGCATGTCATTATATTTATAGTAAGAGTGATTACCATAAATTTTAAGAAGCAATTTAATACTTAAATACACTGTTCTCTTAGGCAAGCATGCTCATTATGTAGGTTGTTTTCATGATCAATTATAATATAGTCATGCTTCAGTAATATGTACCTAGTCTATTTTTATTTTTTGAGAAATATCATGTCTCACATTTTTTTACTATTAATTCTATATTACCATTAATAGCATTTGCATTAATCAAATGTGACTTCTAAGTAATGTCTACTTGTCACTAACAACACCCCAAAATATATCACTAACTATTCTATTTTACATTGGCTACATAAATCATGAGTCAGTGCTGTTTTTAAATATTATTTTCAAAGCAAATCCATTTCAGAAAAAAACATCTTTAATCAAATCTATAAAGAACTCCTCGATTAAACACCCAAGTAAAGAACATATTTAATCCACTCACTCAAAAGTCAATCTCCCAAAAAATAAACAGAGAAAATAAGCTCCATCTTCAGTGACATCACCAATCCTGGAAAACGTGAAATGTAGGATGAAGTAAAAGTAGTTGATGAAAATTGGCATCTGGTTCTTCAAAATCTGAGAGCAGAGATTTTTCTAAACATAGATTTTTGTAATACTGATAAGCCATTCCAAATGATCTTTTGATTAGAGTGATGATATCCAGAAGGAATAAACTAAGAATGCTCTTGTAGAGATCATATTCAGCAGGCTGAAGAGGCAGGGGGTTTAGTTGCTATTTTATTATCAACCACCCAAGCTCTTAGCAAACTATTAGATGAGAAGCGGGGAGAGGCAGGAAGCAGTGTAATCCTAAAGCACTAACCTTGAATGGGCTTGCTTTCAGCCACATCATTTGGAATGCTGTTGAAAATAAAGGGAAGACAAAACCTTCCAACTCACATGAAACTTGTAGTTTTCTCTAAAGTGTGCTTAAGATTAAAGTTGAAAGATAAAACTAAAGCACAAACAGAAAAGCTCAAAGTTTATAAATCCTGTTTACCCCTAAAACAAGATGTGCGCATGCTCAGTCATGTTCAACTCTTTGTGACCCCATGGACTGAAGCCATCCAGGCTCCTCTGTCCACGGGATTTTCCAGGCAAGAATACTGGAGTGGGCTGCCATTTCCTACTTCAGGGTATCTTCCCAACCCACTGATCAAACCCACTGTCTCTTGCCTCTTCTGCATTGGCAGGTGGATTCTCTACCACTGTATTACCCGGGGAGCCCATCCAAAACAAGGAGTTTTTTATAAATGCAATTGCATAATACAAAAAGTGCAATAATCACAAAGTAAACACACAGTGCTTATTACGGGTTCAGTTGTGTTCCCTGAATAGATATATTCAAGTACCAGACTCCTCTGTCCATGGGGATTCTCCAGGCAAGAATATTGGAGTGGGTTGTCATGTCCTCCTGCAGGGTGTCTTCCCAACCCAGGGATCGAGCCCAGTCTCCCACATCGCAGCAGATTCTTTACCATCTGAGCCACCAGGGAAGCCCCCTAACCTCTGAAATGTGACCTTATTTGGAAATAGGATCATGAAAATATAATTAATTATGAGGAGATCATACTTAGATAACATGGGCCTTAATCCAACATGGCTGGTGTCCATATACGAGTAAAGTGACCGGAAAACTCAGAAATACCAGAGGTTCCACCATGCGATGACAAGGGCAGAGACTGAAGTAAAAGTGAAAGTTGCTCAGTTGTGTCCGACTCTTTGTGCTCCCGTGGACTATACAGTCCACGGAATTCTCCAAGCCAGAATACTGGAGTGGGTAACCGTTCTTTTCCCCAGGGGATCTTCCCAACCTAGGGATCGATCCAGGTCTCCCACATTGCAGGCGGATTCTTTACCAGGAAAGCCCAAGAATACTGAGTGGGTAGCATATGGCTTCTCCAGCGGATCTTTCCGACCTAGGGATCCTACCGGAGTTTGTTGCACTGCAGGTGGATTCTTCACCAGCTGAGCTACCGGGGATCCCCAAAGAGATTGAAGCGCTGGACTGCAAACCAACAAACGCCAAGGATTGACGACGACCACCAGGTGGCGCAGTGGGAAAGATTCCGCTTGCCAGTGCAGGAGATGCGGGCTTGATCTCTGGGTCAGGAAGATCCCCTGGAGTCGGAAATGGCAACCCACTCCAGTATTGTTGCCTGGAAAATTCCATGGACAGAGGAGCCTGGTGGGCTACAGTCCANCTTCTTGAAAAACTGTTTGGAGGACTTTCTAAAAATGATGCCCTGGGCAAAGAAGCAAGAGACTAAGCTACACTCAATTGTGATAAAAAAAATTACTAGAAGCCTGATTCTGAGAAAACAACAAAAGCAAACTATTAAAGGGCAGTAGAGTCTTCTCAGCTATCTTCTCTTTAAAATTAACCTAAGAAAAATAAAATATTATAAGAATCTGTTTATCCTCATGATTCTAAGTAACTTTTGCATTTATTCATTTACAAAATCACTATGTTGTTATTCTCAAAGGTGTTATTTCCTAAACGAATCAATCCAAATGGGTGCAATGACCTGTTAGTCTGAAAATACTTATTAAAATAGCAATTAACTCTGCATAATTTTAGAAGCATTTAAACTGATAATTAAGGATCTGTTGACTAGCTCTGGAAGTTCAGTGGTAGGTCAAGATTAGAGTATTTGCTAAACCTAATCAGGCCATTTTATAATCCATCATATTTATACTTCGGGGACTATTTACCTTATTCACATGTTGAATTAAATGCTACTAAAGTCATTAGCTATGTCAGCTAGTTTTTCAACTTGCTAATTGTGTGCAGTATCCTAATTAACATGTCTATAAAAATGTGTGGCTCTATTGTTTCTACTTCTTTAATAGAAATTTTCCCAATTAATACAATTAAAGTGTTATCCAAAAATTGAATATAATTAAGCTATTTACAGATTTGATTTTAAATCTTTTTTCACCTTTTAAAAAAATAACTCTTTTTGGATTATTTTTTGAGAGCAGTCTTACTTTTCATTGCTTCTGTATTTATTTTACTATTTAGAGGAAGATTCCATTGCTGATTAACAAGTTCATTAATTAATTTACTCATTTCACAATTGTTTATTGTACCTCTTCAATATTGCCAGTGTTGATTTTAGTACAGAGAATCAGAAATAAGCACCACATGATTTCTTCTCTCAAAGAGCTCAGAATCAGCTAATTGTTAAATAAACACAAACATGAGTTATGTTGTGATTGTAAAGAAGAATTAGCTGCCTCTGAGGCAGATTAAGGAAGATTGCCTTAAAGAGGTAATTCTTGATCTGAACTTAGAGTTATTGTGGTGGTGTTTAATTGCTCTGTTTTGTCCGACTTTTTGTGACCCCATGGAGTGTGGCCTGCCAAGCTCCTCTGTCCATGGGATTTCCCGGGCAAGAATACTGGGTAGGTTGCCATTTCCTACTCCAGGACAGCTTACTGACCCAGGGATGAAATCTGACTCTCCTGCAAGTCTTCGGCATTGCAGGCAGATTCACTACTGCTGAGCCCCCACCAGGGAAGCCCCAGAAATAAATTACAGCCTCTTTTGATCATTTGTTATTGCTAACTATGGGATACAAATGAGATTATTTTAAGAGTTGATAGCAAATAGACACACAGGACACTATAGGACATTCTGGAGCTTATAGGCAGCCACTCCAAAACATTCAATAAGTAAATGTCATATAGATTCACTGTTTATTAATATAACTCTGATCAATCAGTGCTAGCATAACTAAAGAAGCTGAAACTAAGATGGTAACAGTAATGAAAGGACTAGATTGTAGTTGCAGGTCCAAAAATCAACATTCTGAAAGTAGAGTAAAAAGGAAGTAATTAATGTAATGAAATTTTAGTGAGGAAATGGAGGAGCTGACAAAGATAATACCTGACCAGGTTGGTATAGTTGAAATCATATGTAAATAAATAGCTTTCAGAATGAATATGTTATTAATAATAATAGTAATAACACCAGTACTGCTAATAATATAAGCTAGCACTGATTTGTGATTATATGCTAGGCAAGGTAATAACCATTATACAATATTTTGAAAATATTAAAATTCATCAACTACATACTCATCATAACTTTACAAATTTTAAGTATATGTTCACTTAGCAATTATTTTGCAATAGAAAGTCATTGAAAGTGAAAGTGTTAGTCATTCAGTTATGTCTGACTCTTTGGGGCCCCATGGACTGTAGCCCGCCAGGCTCCTCTGTCCATGGGATTCTCCAGGCAAGAATACTGGAGTGGGTTGCCTTTTCCTTCTCCAGGGGATCTTCCCAGCCCAGGGATCGAACCTAGGTCTCCTGCACTGCAGGCAGATTCTTTACCATCTGAACCACCAGGGAAGCCCCAAAAAAGTCATTAATCTTAAAATATTGTTTATTGATCTTTAAGTTGAGTTTATGAGAGCTTTTTTCAGGTGGGCTTTACTTTTACTTAAATATAATAAACCCAATTATAGTCACTACATATGACTAAAAACATGGTGTAACAGTGTTGTTTTTTTCCAGTGAGCAACTGATGAGGTGTTTAAAGGTTAAGAAATAAGTGTTAAACAAAATACTGAGTACACGTTGTGTAAGGGAGAGTCCAGATACAGCAAAGAAAATACATCTTGGTTAGTGGAAGAAGAGAAAACGTACAATACAAAACTATCAAAGCTTCATTTATAAGGTGAAAATGACTGAGAAAAGCACATTTTAAAATTAATGATCACTGACTTAAAGTAGCCCTCAGAGGTCATTGTGTACTTTCCTATCCTAGTTACCCCTCCCTGCTCTCCTAGATAATAATTCTAGACCTCAACTCTTTCTGCAATTCTCCTCACCCTCCTGTCTCAGGTGCATGGCCTTGTTTCATATTTAACTGAGAAAAAAATATTCAATCAATGAAGAGAATTCCCACAACTTCTCACCATCACAGCTTCCCTACACACCAGGTTCTGGATTCCCTCCTGTTACTGTGGGAGAGTTTCCTGTGCTCTGTATACAAAAGTTTTCATCCTTCCTTACAAGATCATGGACATTATTTTAGCTTATCTCCTCTGTTACTCCATTCTTACCTCACAGATTGTTCCCACAATTACAAAAATATTTCTATTTTTCATTAAAAACTAAAATAAAAAAGGCTGCCTCTTACAGTTTATTCATCCTTCACAGATTATTTTCCTTTCTTTTAGGGAGAGCAAAGATACCTCAAGAGAGGTATATAGTCAATGTTATATATAATCAGTCTATTACCTATATATATATACACATATATATATTCAACAGTTGAATAATAGTAATAACATATATACAGTTGATATATATAATCAGTTGATGTTATATATAATATATATATAAATCAGTTATCTTCTGATTTGCTGTTGAATCATCTCCAAGCATTCTTTTAATTCTCATATTCCCTTAATATGTCCTTTTCTGTGTCACAAACTCCAAATTTCAATTATTAGCTTAAATTAGTCCTGACCTATTGTAGTAAATGACACAGTTAATTATGTTCTCCTGGCTTTTGTTCTTAAATACAATATTCTTGCTGTTTTCTTTGGATCATTTTCTGTTCAATTGCAAAACTTACTGCTCATCCCTAGATCTTGAAATTGTAGTGTCTGAAGGATCTATTCTTGAATCGTTTTCACTGTAAAGAAATCTCTTTACTTTCTTACTGACTTCAACTTCCACCATGACTCCAAATACCATCTACATAACTACTTCTCTTTCGCTCACTCATCTAACTAATTGCCCGAATTTCATGTCTACTTAGATATCTAATATTAAACTTAACAAGTTTCAAATCAGTTTCTAGTCTACCTCCAAGCCTTACTCTGAATAAATGAAGCTGCCTCTGTTAAGTTCCTTCTCTTCATTAAAGCCAACTCTTTCCTTCTATTGCTTAGACTGAAAATTGGAATTATTGATTATTTTCTTTTTCTCACATCCAATTCCTGTGCAAATTCTGTTCCTCCAAAATACACCTAGAATCTGCTACTTCTTTGCTTTACCTTTTGCTGTGTCTAACCAACCTTTATCTCTCTCTTTTATTGTTTACTAGCTCTTAACTGATGTTTATTATCATCTTGCTTTATCTTATTTTTTGGTGAAGTTGATCTCATTGATGTAACTTTTGCCCTTCTCTTAAATTTATTTTCAAAAAGCAATTAGGGTGATCTTGTTGTATTTAAGACAGATCCAAACGACTGAGTGAACTGTCGAAGTTTTTCTTTTTCTCAATGTGAAAGCAAAATGCTTGCAAGGCTTTTCAAGACTTCACAGGATCTTGTATCTTGTATGTGTGTTGCCTTCTTGGTCTTCTTAAACAAAGAAATCATGTTTATAACTCAGAGCATATGTACTTTTGTCTACCTGAAGGTTTCTCATCCCAAGTTTAAACAAGGTACACTTGCTCATCCTTTAGTTCTTACTTAAACATCATCTTCTCAGTAAAGCATTTTTGAGAATGTTTAAGAAATTGAAAACTTCCTCCTACCCCCAACATTTCAAATCTCTCTTCTCTGCTTTATTTTCCTTCCTCATATTTATAGCTCCTTTACTCACTATGTATTTTAGTTAACTAGGTTTTTTCATATATATTTATCATCTATTTCCTTCTGAGAGCTGCTCTATACCTGGTATCTTCACATAAATGTTCAGTTCAGTTCAGTCGCTCAGTCATGTCTGACTCTTTGCAACCCCATAAATCGCAGCACACCAGGCCTCCCTGTCCATCACCAACTCCCGGAGTTTACTCAAACTCATGTCCATCAAGTTGGTAATACCATCCAGCCATCTCATCCTCTGTTGTCCCCTTCTCCTCCTGCCCCCAATCCCTCCCAGCATCAGGGTCTTTCCAATGAGTCAACTCTTTGCATGAGGTGGCCAAAGTATTGGAGTTTCAGCTTCACCATCAGTCCCTCCAATGGACACCTAGGACTGATCTCCTTTAGGATGGACTGGTTGGATGTCCTTGCAGTCCAAGGGACTCTCAAGAGTCTTCTCCAACACCACAGTTCAAAAGCTTCAATTCCTCTGTGCTCAGCTTTCTTCACTATCCAACTCTCACATCCATACATGATTACTGGAAAAACCATAGCCTTGACTAGATGGACCTTTGTTGGCAAAGTAATGTCTCTGTTTTTAAATATGCTATCCAGGTTGGTCATACCTTTCCTTCCAAGGGGTAAACGTCTTTTAATTTCATAGCTGCAATCACCATCTGCAGTGATAGTCTTCACATAAAGAACACACACAATATATATTGTTAAATAAATGAATGGTTACATGTGTTAGGGAATATTTTAAGCTTGAGAAATGCAATTATACAGCTTGTTCATATGTCACATTAACACATTTAATTCTAAAATCTGCTGTGTTTAGAAATATAAAGAAAAGAGAAACACAGAAAAGAAGGATAAATGAAAGAAAGCACAAAGGAAAAAATAGACAATAGGCTTACTTTACTGGGCTAAAGCCAGGGATCTTTTCAAATGTTAATGTAACATTATTTACCTTAAAACTTTCACTTACCTCCTAGGGCACTTAGGATAAAATCCAAACCCTACATCCTGGCTTGCAAATTTATTCAGAATGTGCTTCTTCCTGATATCACCACTTCACTACATATCACTAGGTTTAAGCCACCAGTCTTTAAGATACACATATTTCATCTCTACTCAGTCAAGTCCTTGTCCTCCTGGATCAAAGTTAAATGTCATTCCCTGGGAAGGTCTTTCCTTACTATACAATTTGAAGAACTCACCTAAGAGCTCTATGCCCTAACACTCTGCTATATTTTATCATGATCTGCTAATTTATTATATTTTAATTTATTGTCTATCTCAATTAAGTAGAATTTGATCTCTATGAATACGAATTGTACCTTTCAACGAATGGACCCATTGTCCAGTTCAACCTAATTAGCTGAAAGAATCTATGTCCTGAATCTACTTGAAGGAGAGAGCCTACATATCACCCCACCACCCAGCTGTGTTCAACCATCTTGATGATTAGAAGACACAGAAGTGCATTGCTGAATAGTAGAAAATATGAGAACGGTAGACAGAGGAAATCTTTTTTTACTGAGACAGTATACATTTCTGATCATAAATCCTGGTATGCTAGAAATGGCACTTTCTTTATTCTTCTCAAATCAACTATGATGCTTAACTGCTGTTTTTGTAAGAAAATGTATTCTTATTCCCTCCCACCTGACTTCAGAATGACTGTGTGGAACATGACCTGTTTGTAACTTAGAGGATTCCAATATTTAGTTTTGTACTTACAATAAAAGAAAACATCAGAAAGAGTTTTGCATTATTGCACATTTAATTTTGATATAAAGCATGTAAATTATTTTGGCCTTGGAAAATCTAGACAGGGAGAATGAAGAGCATTAAGGTGTGTTGATTAAGTTGTTATACTGCAGTTCTAGTATCGACCATTTGCAGCATAAATGGAAAATGAATACAATTCATGTGTATTCATGATAATTGCCCAAAAGAAACTGGCTCTGAGTTTATAAAGCTGCTTCTATTCACAGCAAAAATAATGATGAAATATTTTAGATACTATTTGTGCCTATGCCTTGTAATACCAGTTATTTTAAAACTCAAATGTTTTAGTATGTCTGGTATCTGCCTAAAAGCATGAGGGAAATCTCAGAAATATCAAATAATACCATACTTTCTGAATAAAAGAACTCTCTTATACAAAGCATTTACCATTCAGTACAGGAATACAAAAGAATTTTGAAATTTCAAATGGAAGTCTATTTGCACTGGAAGAAAAATCACACAAGTACATTTTTTTCTCAACAATAGGTATACAGTACAGATACACTCTGGTCTATTTTGGGAGTCACTTAGATTATAATTTACATCTTTTCCTTTTATGTCCAGTTTTTCTAACTAGTCCTAGTGGTCTGTGATTGAAATATTTAATTGTTTGTCTTGAACTGTTTTAAATGTATACTTTAATAACAGAACACCAAATCACCGAATAGCAATAGTGATCATGTTATGAAAGAATGTATTTTCTTAGGAAGGAATGCTTTGAGAAAAAACAGCATAAGAGTACCTGTGAATTTGAGTTAAGAAAGTGGTTGATATATTCTGCATCTATCTTGCCAGTTCTGTATAGAAGTATCCAGTTATATAGAATACACAGTTATACACAGAAGGTGGCTAAGTCAACTCAAAAAGAGACTGCTCACCACTGTTTTCTATCCACTCTGGTTTGTAGGTAAGTCTCTATCAGAAGGCACTGGTTCAGAATTCTTGCTAGGTCTGTGGTTTATGAGGTCATTTCCACCTGTAGTTAAAAAACAAAATTCCAAGAATGGGTCTCAATGGCACTGCAATCCATTAGTCATGATAGTACATACTGCCTTTCTCATCTGTTCCCATGTGGCCGGCACAGAAACCTTGATCTCACCCTGTTTCCCTTTCTTCTAATTGCCTTATTTGTACTAGACTTTTCCCCTCAAACATCCATGAATCTCCTTCATTGCAGTGGTAGTTCATCACCAACAGAGAGCACATCTGAATTTGCCCCTGAAACTCTAGCATTCATTTTGGTACTATCCACTTCTGTAGCTTATGGTGACATTTATGCTACATGTGAATGACTGCCCTAGATTTTCTGCAAACTAAGAGTTGAGGCCATTGCAACCTCTAATCCCTCACCTTGCACAAAAATGCACTGCATTTCTCTTTCAAGGCATGTCAGCTGTTGAGTGGTCAGTTATTTTCCAATCATGACTTTTTCCAAAAGGAAGCATTTCTTACTTCTAGGGTCCACCCACCGTTATTCATCCATTCTATCAAGGACTAGGAATTACTTAAACCTAGGTCTCTCTGAATTGCAACACAAATACAAAACCTCAAAATTATACCTGAAATAGGTATTTTTAATATTCTTTCTTGTATCATCCATAGACTAAAGTTGCAGTTCCTGCAAAAATGACAGAAAATTTTCAGGTAGAGATGCTTTTTTCTGGGTGGTATCAAAAGGTATCACAAGCAATCAGTTTTCTATCTTTTAAGTCAGAAAAAGAGACATTTAGTACATAGTTCAGTTAATTTCACTTTCTGTTACACATAAAAAGAACTTTGAATAATTAAGTAATAGAAGCCAGGAGTTAGTGACCTCAGGGTTGGTTCAGTGACTTAATGATGTCATCAAAGACTCATTTTTATTTGAATACTCTCTCTACCTCGGTATATTAATTTTGAATCCATGACATACATATACACATATATATATGAAAAGAAGCTACTATGGAACAGAATTTCTTAAACTTTTAGAAAGAGAATATTATCATATTTTTAATTAGATAAGGATTGTGCTGGGAGAAGGAAGAAAAGTAAAGGAAAAAGAAGGGAGGACTGGGAGTAGGGACCCGAATGGAGCAGGGCACTAATTGAGTCCTCAGGGTGATAAGGGCCAGGTAGCAGAATGGAAGAGCTTCCAGGGATGAAATGCCTTTGAACACCCTCACCTCCTTCTAAGTGATCACCTGTGGAAAAGCTGCCATTCAACTGCCCTCTTGATATATGTTAACACCACTCCTACTAGGAGCAGGGAGCCTGGTTGGGTTTTAGGCTTTAAGGAGTATGAAAAGAAATACCCACTTCTAACTAAAGTGGTATGGAACAAGTTGGATAGGACTTTTGACTAGCAGTGAACTCATGGCTAGTATTATATTTTGGACACTGGCTTATTATTTTTAGTAAATCTAAGTGAAATGTTGCCATTGCAACAGGCATAAAAACATCTTTAAATCTCTCTGAGCATTAATTTAAGATGGGTATTAAATAACGAAGAAATATTCAGTCACTCAGTCATGTTGAACTCTGCAACCCCATGGACTGTAGTCTGGCAGGCTCCTCTGTCCATGGGATGTTTCGGGAAAGACTACTGGAATGGACTGCCATTTCCTCCTCTAGGGGAATCTTCCCTATCCAGGGATCGAACCCATGTCTCTTGCATTGCAGACAGATTCTTTACAGCTGAACCATCAGGGAAGCCCATGGTAGGTACCACTTATCATCAAATCTAGGACCTAAAAACCACAGAATCTAAGAATTACTTTGTGTTGCTAGATTCACAGGGACTCTCACCATGATAACTAACATCTATGCAATTTCCCACTTAGGTTGTTGACCATCAGAGTAAAGAATGAGCATCACATGTTTATGCCTCAATTAGTTTTCCATTTAATGAATACCTCCTGAGTATCTATGAGTCATACAGTTTACCCTGATGCAGCAATAAACAAGACAGCAAACAGTATCATTTGATTCAATTTTAGTGGCACATGTCATGTGACTAATGTTGCCACATAAATGATCTATGAAAAAATAGTTACCTGATCATTATTTTCCTAATTTTTAACTAGTTTGAAATTTTAGATAACTTAGGTAGAGTACAGGATTGTTTTCTTTCCTTCTGTAGTATTATGAAAGTTTCCTAAATAAATATGCAATATTATTAGAATGATATAAATGTTTCTCTTAATTTTGTTATCAGGAATATCTTTTCAGAGTTTATGATGTACTTGTTATTGCAATGCTTATGTATATATGTATGTATCAAGTAAGAACTGCAAATTTCTTCCTAAAAATAGTTTCTTATAATTTTTTAACTTATTTCTTTCCTGGGAAAAGTTAGATATGTATAGCAGCTGGATTTTCTTAATATTAAAGAATATTCATTTTCCCTCATTTTGACTGCTTAATAGCATGTTAGGAAACGATGAGAGCAACATAATATGGGCACAAGGCAAAATATTTACTAAACATATTAAATATATACCTCTTTGTATGTTCTGCCTTTATAAACATAAAGGGTAACTTTCAACATTCTGAAATCACTGTGAAAGAACTACTTAGCAAATATTTTTTAGGATGTAAATTGCTTTATATACTTACTTTTTAAAGTCTGAAAGTAAAATGTTAAAGACTGATATTTGTGTGCATAAATATATATTTTAATAATATGAAAACAATAGTATGCTGTAGAGGAAACATGTTACCAATAAATAATGAAAAGCTATTCTTGAAATATTACAAAAGTAAATGAAAGAAATCAATGAATTGTTTAGACAAGGAATAAAAAAAAATCTCAACAGAGATAATCAATCACTACAGAGCCTTGATGAAATGATTTCATTACTTGCAAACCACAAAAGTTTTCTATCTAAAAAATAAATCTTTGGGGAACATTCTAATGATTAATTATACAAATAACTTCTCTTTTTAGTAAAAGGAGTTGCAAATAACATTTCAAATATGAAGTAAAGTTAATTTGATCAGATTTGTATGCAGTTCTTTGCATTCAAATGTCACTATGAGATCTTGAAATAAATTTAACATAAATAGTCTTGACAATATTCTCTTATTTATGTGGTGGTGTTTGTATTATTAACATAATATACCCTTTCTATAGTAACAATATATAGGAAATATCTAAAAAGAAAGACAAACATAAAATAAGCACTAGAGCAAAAACTCTCTATTGTGCAATTAATTAGGAAATATATTTAATATAATATTACACATTTATTGGTAGAAAAAATGGTGTTGTATAAAAGCTTCATTGATTAGAGTACACTGATAATAAATCTCTGATGATAATTTTTCTCTATATTCCAACTGCAGAAATCAATTGCTGCCTGTCATTTAACAAATGTATATTCTTTAATTTACTGAAATCTACATCATTCATTCAGGATTCAATCATTTATCCATCCAAATATCGACTATTTCTAACTTGTCTGGCATTGAGACTGCATTGATGAGTACAAATATTGATTGACATTATGGAATTTACAGTGTAGTGAGACAAGTCTTCAAATGATCACATTATCAGTGTAAAATTACAACTCAATAATTAGTAACTAAGTGCTATAGAAAAAAGTTGCATGATGAAGAAATTGGTAAGATTTGATCTCAGAAAGGAAGAGCTACTATACATTGATGAATAAACACCATATATATATATATATTATTTATCTATATGCACACCCAGGCACACATACATATATATAAACCCACTGTCTATATAACGAAGACCATTTAAGATCCTACTTCTATTCAATTTATAATTAAATTTAAGTTCAATACTTTTATGTGTATGATCAAAAGATTGAAGGCAGGAGGAGAAAGGGAAGACAGATGATGAGATAGTTGGATGGCATCACTGACTTGATGGATATGAGTTTGAGTAAGCTCTGGTCGTTGGTGATGGACAGGTTGACCTGGCGTGCTGCAGTCCATGGGGTTGCAAAGAGTCAGACATGACTGAGTGATTGAACTGAACTGAAAATCAAGCTACTTGCACATGTCTTAGATCAAGCTGCCATAACAAATTATTGTAGGGTGCATGACTTAAATATAAACATTTCTTACAGTTTGGGAGGCTGGAAGTCTAGATGGTGATGATTATATGGTTCAGCTCCTGGTGAGGGCTCTTTTCTCAGTTTACAGATGACCCTATTCTTATGTGTGGAGAAAAAGAACTAACTCACCCTGAACTCTCGGAAGGTCACCGTTACTATTCAGGAGAACCCCACCCTCATGACCTAATTCCCTCCCAATGGCTCCACGTCCACGTACCATCACATTGGGATGAGGGTTTCAGCACGTGAGTTTTCCAGGGACACACATGTTCTGTCTATAAAAGCACATGGTAGGCAGTAGGTACACAGACTTACCTCTCTCCTTCTTTGTGTTCTGCCATTATAATCATATAAAGCACCCTATTAAGTCCTCAAATATAAAGAAACATTTTTTTTGGGCAAATAGCACTTTAAATGTTAATATATTTGTATGCATATAAATTACACATGTAAACTATACATAAATTTTATATAATTTCAACATTTGTTATTTATATCAGCAAATATAAAGTAAATGTATTTTTAAAAAATTGTTTATTTATATTAATTGGAAAAGTAAATGTATTGTAAGGACTAAATAGACAGATACCTCTGTGGTATAAGAGAAAATTTTGCATTTAAGAAGTCAAGGAAGTGAATGCAGTAATATTGCATGATTTGGGCACACGTCCAATATATCTTCGAAATTTTGTCTGCAACATAAGGACAATGAGAAATTGCTGAAGTGTTTTATATGGAATTACTCTAGTGGATTTGATGCTTACAAAAGATTGCTTAAGGTGAAGTTTAAAGAATAAATTGAATTAGATCAAAGAAGATGAGAAAAAAGAGGTAACTATAAACTTCACTGACAAAAGTGAAGCCAATATGATTTTGATATGAATTGCAATAAATTAATCCAGACAGAGTTGACATCTCAAAAGTATCACCTTCTGATCCATACACACAATGTGTCTCTCCATTTGTATATGTTTATTTGATTTATTTCAGCAATGTTTTATAGTATTCCACAAACAAATCTTTCACATTTTTTGGCTAGTTATATCCTTAAGTATTTTGTAGTTTAAATGACTTTGTGAGTGCTATTTTTCATTCACTTTCAATTTCTAATTATGTGGTCATAACACACCACATAATTTGTTAATAAAATTAATAAGTAAGAAATTTAATTTTAGTATTTTAATTTGTATGTTGCAGACTTATCTAAGTCATTCCTTAGTTTTAGTGGCTTATTTTGCAGATCTTCTAAGTTGTTTTTTTTTTTTTGGTAGATTCTTTAGGATACACAATCACATCACAGAAAGGCATTTAATTCTCCCTTTCAAAACTGTATATCCCTTATTTCTTGTTTCTGT